GGCTGCTCTGTGTTGCACAGGCGGCCGGAAATGTGTCCCGCGTTGCCTTACAGCAATTCCAAGTGATAAACCCGCGTATTTGGGACGAAAGTAAGTGCGAGATGTTGACCTGTATTTGCTGTATAGTGCAAGAACACCAGAAACCGAGGAGTGACCCCAGCGCCAGGAACCCTGACCATCTCCTCATCTCCCATCTATGTTGAATTTCGGTGGAAATTACTGCCTAGGTTTAGGTGTGCAATAAATGCAGGCTGTAGAGTGAGCAAACAGTCCTTCCAAAAAAAAAACACAAATCGGGGCAGATAACCCCACGGCGCTGATGTACCCCAGCACGGGCGGCGACAGCCTCCGGCTGCTGCAGAGCTGGCAGGGATCTCCAGTCGTCTTGTGCTCTTGCTGATCTGCGATTAGACTGCTCGCAGGACAGTGGGTTTTCCTTTGAAGGCCAAGTAGTCTGAAGACGTGATGCTTTTCAACAGAGTGTGTCTAAATTGCTCTGGCACTTGCAGCAAGTTCACTTTTTGAGGTTGTGGCTGTTATTCTATTGTTAAATAATAGCTAATATAAAAAATTAGATGCTGCCTGCTCAGCTGACAGTGTAAAAACTGCATATACCATTATCTCAGGGTTATCCAGCCAGTGTTATTGCAGGCTCTGCTAAAGTGCAAGTGGAAGTTTGATGGTAGACATCTTCTAGCAGGAGTAAATGACCCAGCCGTAAGCGTTTCATGAGGTGGTTTTGGGTTATTCTTTTTTTCCTCCCTCATATTGACTGTTGGAAATGTTGGTACAGCTGATATTTATGAAATCCCTAAGCTATACAAGCAGGTTATAAAAGAAGACATGGATTTTTAACCAGTTATTAGGATTGGCCAGCAGAAGAAATACCAATATTGTCATTAAAGCTGCTTAGTTAAAAACTGTAAGCAACCTGTTGTTCTTTGAAGAAATCAAACTTGTATTTAAGTAGATAAGTACACAGCAACGTGTGTCCTGCTCTGCATATCATCTAGTAGACAGGCCTCGGTGTTGATCTATGTTTGGCCTTTCTAGTAGACTCTTCTCAAAGCCAGTTTTGATGTCCTAAAGCAGAGCCTTTATCAGGCAGCGTGGAAAGTTTGGTACTAGCACCTTGCCCATCCCAGCTACTCTCTGCAAAATCTGCCACACAGATAGCGCCAGACAAATTTGGTCAGCCACGTGAATGACCTGACTTGTCACAAAATGTAGTGGTGTGCATTTAAAAAAGTGAAAAGAAAAGAGAATAAGAGAATTTATCCAAAAGCAGAAGGTAGCAGTGGAACTCACCTGATACCAAAAGGAAGGCTGGCAGTTTGATTAGAACTCTTTTTTTTTTTTTCTTTTCTGTGTAAGCATTAAGCTAATCTCTTAGGGTTGGCTTTCAGTAACACTTGGTGGACATTTTTCACTTTCCATGTTTTGTTCACAGCACTAATATGGCTCATTATAAATGACTAATCTAATGCCTCGATCCTGCGGTGGGATGGTGTCAGTAGTCTCTTCTTTATCCACTGTGGAGCTTCCTGTGGCTCCGGCAGTCCATCCAGACGGGTCAGAGGACAGGACAGAGGCCGACATGACAATAGACATTCATATAAACCAGTGCATATATGGAAAAAGGAAGAATAACGGAATGATGGAGATGAGATAAACCCACACCAGTTATTAATATGTAATGTTGGCACACAAGTTAACAGTAATTTCCTTTAAAGTTTCTATTATTGGTAGTTGTGCAAACGACAAAACTTGAAGGTTTAGTTTTGTCTCCTTGCTCATTTAATCCTTAGTTTCTGCTGACATGGCAAGATAAATTAATTATGTAAACCATTGGAGAACAGTGTTGAATTCTTTACTCTCTCAGTCCTCCCTTCTCCAGTGTATCAGAAGTTTAATTAAGCTCTAAGCAGACTTTTGACGTGAACAAGTTTGTTGATAGAAGCTCAAGTCGTATTTGTACTCATGAGCGATGAACTTTTTTTATCTCTTTTGCATTGTCTCACTGGAACAAATTTTAGCAGTGAAAACATCTTCAGCTTTACAGTGCAAAAGCTTAATCCACTGAAGTTCTCTTGCTAAAGTGTTCTGAGACTGACCTGTGATGGTTTCACATCAGGAAAAATGCCAGTACATCAAGTAAAATCATAGACACATGTATGTTAATGTTCATGTTCTCCAGGTCTTCTTTTTTAAAAGATTCTTGCTTTGCTCTCATATTTACAGTCACTGTTAATGCGTTGGAAGGCAAAGACTGCAAGGAATCTGTGAAGCTGATTGCAGAAAGCTCTAATCTCTCAGAAGAGCAACTTGCGTTCCTCATTTCTGGCATGTATACCCTTCTCCGAGAAGCGCTGAGACTTCCCTTATCAACTTTCAAACAAGAAGTAAGTTCTGGGAGCGCTTGGAGTTCTGAGAAGTTAAAAGCTGTGCCAGACACAAGTTACCATCTAATGTGATTTGCCAGGGTGGGGAGCTGCAGCTAAATTGTTGCTCCAAGTTAAAGTGGTTGGAAGAAACTGTTAAAGATCTAGACCTTCTTATTTTTCCCTTGTTAGGCAGATTTACAGAGAAACTTTTTGAATATTATTTAAGTTTTGGGAGAGAAGATTCCTGTATCTTTTTGCTGCTTTAGCATCTTGTTTACTGTGCGTGTTTGTTTTCACAGGAAAGAAGGTCTTATGGCCCAAATGATATGGTGGAAATGGCAAGAAAATGCTATTTCTGCTTATGCTATGGGTGTTGTGTGATTATGTGTACAAGTTCCCAGCCTCTATCCCTTCTTTGTGGCTATTTTCTTTACTTTTTCATGTTACCTTACTTTTTTTTTTTTCTTTCTCATTTTATTCTTGTATGAGAGAACCACTTCTGGGCTTCCAGCACCTCTCCCTTGTTTAAAATACTGTTTTCATGTTTACCCAGGCGTGCTGGGAAAGCTCATATATTGCAGGAAACATAGTGAAAGCATGCTTTTAGTGTTCAGAGCTTATCTTTTGCCACTTTGTTTCTATTGTCATAGTTTAAAGAAGTTGCTGCAAAACATCTTTGGGAGTAAGGGCACATGTTTAGTCTACAAGAAGAATATGTTATGGATAGCTACATAAAAGAAATGGCAGGGATCTTGTTTTCAAAAGTAAAGGCTTCCAAGAGATTTAGGTGTTTAAAATTAGTTTCTCACAACTTGATGGAACACTTCTGGAAGTTCTTAGAATCACCGGATCGTAAAATGTGTTGGGCTGCAAGGGACCTTCAGAGGTCACCTAGTCCAACCCCCCTGCAGTGAGCAGGGACACCTTTAACTCCATCAGGTTGCTCAGAGCCCCATCCAGCCTGACCTGGAATGGCTCCAGGGATGGAGCTTCCACCACCTCTCTGGGCAACTGGTGCCAACATTTCACCATCCTCATTGTAAATAAATTTGTTCTAACATCTAATCTAAATCTACCCTGCTCTAGTTTAAAACCATTGCCCCTCATCCTGTCGCTACACACCCTTGTAAACAGTCCCTCCCCAGCTTTTCTGTAGCCCCCTTCAGGTGCTGGCGGGCCACCATAAGGTCTCCCTGGAGCCTTCTCTTCTCCGGGCTGAAGAACCCCAACTCTCAGCCTGTCCTCGCAGGAGACATGCTCCAGCCCTCTGACAATTTTTGTGGCCTCCTCTGGACCGACGCCAAGAGGTGCGCATCCTTCTTGTGTTGGGAGCTCCAGAGCTGGATGCAGTACTCCAGGTGAGGTGTCGCCAGACCAGAGCAGAGGGGCCAGAATCACCTCTCTCGATCTGCTGTCCACGCTTCTTTTGACGCAGCCCCGGATGCGATTGGCCTTCTGAGCTGCAAGCACGCACTGTTGGCTCACGTCCAGCTTTTCATCCACCGACACCACCAAGTCCTCCTCTGCGGGGCTGCTCTCTCTCACATCATCCCCCAGCCTGTATCGATGATATGGATTGCTCCAACCCAGATGCAGGACCTTGCACTTGCCCTTGTTGAACCCCCATGAGGTTCACAAGAGCCCACTTGTCCAGCTCGTCCAGGTCACTCTGGAGGACATCCCGTCCCTCTGGCATGTTGACCACACCACTCAGCTTGGTGTCAGTATGTAACCCGTCAGTTTGAAACTACTGGCACTCAAAACTAAAACTTTGGGAGACAGATACCAAGCAGGTAACCACATTAGGTGGAATGGACAAAGTTATCTTTCAAGACTACATCCTGTAAAATTTCACCTTCCATGTCTTTCCAGGTGTTTAAAGAAGACCTAAAGGAGCTCAGGTATGCCTATTGATGCCTTTTTTTTTAATCTGTTTGGGTTTTCATAACTTTTGTGTAACTGCCTCCCCAAAATAACTTTTTCACACAACAAAGTTGATATGAAAGTTACCTGTAAATAACACATAATACATCTGTTGCCAAATGTCATGTGAAGCCAGAGGAAAAAAACCAGGTGTTGTGTAAGAGTTGATTTAGCACTGAGCATGAGCAGTAAAATTCACATGCTGGGAAGATTGGTCTAATTTAGTCCATAATGTAGGTTATGCAAATGTGAGTGACCTTCTCTCTTCCATCTCCACCTTGCCCTGCAGTATTTTTTAACATGTTTGGTAAGACAGTAGTAACATTTCAGAAGATAAGAAACTGCCCTACTTTTTTTTTTCTTTGGAAGGCCAATGATATAATGTTCATGAAATCCTGCCACCTTGTTCAGCGACAATCTCTCCTGCCCATTACCCAGGAAAGCATGACATTTGTCACTGACTTAGTCCTAAGTTCTGTATCAGTCTCTTCCGAGTACCTCTGAATAGAAGTTAGTATCCTAAAAGCTGGATGTCCCATGCTAATAATCTTCCTAGGTTTTCCCTTATTCCCATATTCAGTAGCAGTGACAGAATAACAGCAGCTGATGTTTTCATCTGTAGAGAAACCTCTGTGCCAAGGCTCAGTTATTTTAAAGTGCTAATTTCCCATAATTCTTAGCATTTCATTTGCTACCTTGGAGGAGTTGCTAGATACGTTTCTAATTCTGTCTTTTTCACCATTATTTGTCTGTTAACCTCCACACTGGCTTTTTCCTCAAACTCTGTTCTGCAGGGTCATAAGCATCATTTACTTTATGAGCAACTTCAGGCAAACTAAAGGTGCAGATTTAGACACGTACTTGGGGTGTAATGGGTGAAAGGTGTAACTGGGGCCATGATGAAAGGTGCTGTGCTAGTTGATACAGTTCTGTCTGCAGCTTGGTGCTGGAGTTTGGCTTGCCTTTTGTCTTGTGAGCTAAACTGCAAGCTGCTTCCTCTGCCACATCACGGAGTTCACACCCAGGTTGAAGTAGATCGGTAAGAAACTGATGAATTGCTTTTGACCCAGTGGGAGTTGGTGGGTTTTGAGGTGTGCACAGATTGTGTGCAGTGTGATTAGGGAATAATGAAGAGCTCCATGCCAAGTTCTGTGGGGGTGGGTGAATATTTCTCTGTGGAGCAGTGGAGAAAGTTGGTATACAGGAGCGCCAGGAATTACTGCCTGTATCTAGAAATGGAGGCTCCCAGGCCCCTGTGCTTGTCATTTGACCAGACTTTTGTAATTACACCTTACGCTTTTGTATTTCAGTTTTCTGCCTGGATGATATTTTTTCCCTTTTTTTAATCTTTTATATCTTAAATCTGGCTCATCTTCTTGTTCTGGTTAACATGACTGATGTAGCAGCAATAGATCAGGTAACTGCATTTGTGTTGCTTGCAGACTTGTATGGGTTTGTGCTGCTTGTTGCTGCTCTCATCCCATTATTGGGACTCCCCTTAACTTCCGTTTCTGATGGTCTTATTTCCTGTGAGTAGCTCTCTTCACCTTGTGGCTAAACTTTTAGAAGAATAAGTAGATTATTCTACTCTCAAGGGTTTTTTTATATAGGAAATGTTTCCTGTGTTTCCCAATGCACTTCAGTTTGGAGATGAAATATATGATAATTTTTAAAGCACCTACTAATTACATTCAGACACTTAACCCTTCTGCAGTGACTCCTGTGGGTCATCCTGTGATCATGTGCAGGAAGAACACGTGTAATTGGTTGAACAACAATGTCTTGGCATTATTGGCATCCAGTGTTTGGGCAGGTATTTTGCACATTAAGGCAGAAAAATGCTGTATTTCCCTCTTCTTGTTGTGTCTTCTTTTGAAAGGTTTGAGCTCTGAGCCAGGTTGCCTTTTATTCACCTGTCCTGCATTGTTTTGTTCTTTCAGTGAAGCTGAAGGTTGGACTTAATTCCACTCATATAGTCTTGTAAGTCTCAATTTCCTGGTGATGCAGCTGGTCTTGGCATCTAGTTTTGGTGGAGAGAGAGGCTGGGAGACATGCCCACTTGTGATTAATTACATCAGTACTACTGGTTTCACAGGGTTGCCATTCTGTATCTCCTATTTCTTGCCCTGACTGGCGGAGGCAGTGGGTGCGATTCTGAATTGTGGGTGGGATTTTTATCCTCTCAGATTGTTTAATAACTTTATGGCTCAGGCCAATGACATCCTCACATCTTCTTCCTTGCCCTTTGAGTCCCTTCCTCAGAATGTTCTTATGAAAGCTGCTTGCCATCTGTAGCTCAGGCCTGAGCTCTGCCGTGTTCTGTGTCTGATCTGCTTAATGTGCGACTGGCCTCGTGTAAGCTGCTTGATCCAGGAACAGGATTTTCAGCAAAATCATTAACGGCACAGCAAAAATAATGCAAACTCAAAGGTAGCATTGCCGCTCGTTTTGGTAACACTTGCTCTTACCGTTGAGCAAGTATTGTGATAGGTATCCTACTAATCATATTGCAGCTGCCTCTCCCCAGCTATTCCACGACATGAAGAGGATATTCTGTCATCATCAGGAAGGGTTAAGTGATACACTTGCCTGGAAATTATAAGTAAAGTTTGTAGAAGTAGAGTCTTGTCTCTTCAGGAATAAAGACACATGCAGCCAAAACAGCACTGTCTAGTCCCTCCTCCTCACTTCCCAGTTTGCCTCAGATAACTACTTTGCTAATAGAAGTCAGTTTTACCCAAGCACCAGTTAAAAATGTGTTTTAACCACATTTCTTCCATTAAGAATTCAAGCTCTAATAACTGCTGTTTCATCTTCCCACTGTCTGAGTTGATGAGTTGTTTTTCTCCCATCATTAGATGCTGTAAGCCCTTTAGGACAGGTAACTTACTTGTTTGCTTTGATTTTTCTTTGATGTACCGCTGTGTATCTCAAGCCACTGGTGAGTAATGTCTCTGGGCACTGATTCATGTTGAGTTCTGGATTTAACTGTGGCAGCAGAAGTAGTTACGTTGTCCAACCTGTCTCCCTGTAGGAGGTTGCTGTCTCTGTGGCAAAGGCAGCTGAATGGATAGTGTTTGCTCTGCAGTCTTTGCAATTCACAGCCTGATATATTGAACTGAAAACTGACAGCAGCTTGTTTGTGAGGCAACAACAGTGTCGGAGGAATGGCAGCGTAGTGGAGAGGCACAGGGTGGATGGAGTGTGAGTTAGTCTGTTCAACCCGTTCTCATGGTCCCCATCGAATTTAGGCTTGTCCTCTCCTTGGCAGGTATGCTCGTTTTGTAAGTGATCTTAGCTACAAGGGTCTCTGTTTTTACTTTTGAGGGAGCAATCCATTTTGTTGTCTTTTCATTATGCTTCAAGTGAAAATAAAATAAAAGGTATAGGGTTGACATTTTTGAAAGCGTGCATTGCTGGCCTGCCTTCTGCACTTGTCAGAGGCACCAGTAAAACTTTCCTTGACTTTACTGAAAGAAGTTAAGCAAGTGTTGTATTCTTTTGAAATTCACTGTTGCCATGCTAGGTAGGGCAGGAAGATGTAATAGAGTTTTTTCAAGTTCTTGGTATAAAAACATCAGCTGTTATTTTGAGAGCCCAGACTGAATCAATACTGAAGTGCTTACATAAGAGCTGATGGCAGTTTTAAGAAAGGGAAGATGGAAAATGTTGACACATTTTTTGTGTTCTATAATAGATTATTTTTTTTTGTAGCTATGTATTTTGGTCACAAAAAACTTAACTATTCTGTATTGCTCTTCTCTTTAAGGATACCGGAAGATTTCATTGTGGACTTTTCCAGTATAGTCTTTGGTAACAGGTTAGTATCTTCATGTATTGTGCATTGTGCAACCAGCAGTGTGGCACAGAGCTCTGCTGACAAAAATCCCAGGCCTACTGAGGGAACAGCAAAATTCTGTAAATTAATGAGAACAAGATTTGTCTTATTCAGCATAACATGACATCCATCATACATGGCTCTACATGCAGTAAGTAGCTTTCATGCCAGTTTTCAGGTTTTCTCAGATCATCACCCATGAGTTTTTATAAAGTTCTGTAGACTCGGTAAGGTGCACCACTATCTACAGATGAAAAATTCATTGCAGAATTAAGCAGTTTTGTCATCATTATTGTTGCAAGTTAGAGCAAAAGTCTAACCCTTGCTCTGTTCAGAGGCAAGCTGTGTATGCCTTCTACACGCTGTAGTTCGTGGAAGCTTTCTCAGCATTTAATCAAGTCTTAATGTATGGTTGAATGGGGGGTTCACAGGGGTAACTTGATGAAATGCAGGAGATACCAAGTGCTCTGCTAGCTGTAATTAATTTTCTAGCAGTGTACCTCAGTAGCTCCAGAAGTACTAAATCAAGAATTTTTTGAACAGCCTATCTCTTTCGTCTGTTCTAGGGATTCCTTTTTTCTACATGGTTCTCTGCTCAACCACATCTAGCTTATTCTACATCTAGATATTGCTTGAACTTTTCTGTGTTTGCAGAACTTTCCTCCTTGAAACTCGAGGTCACCCAGCATCACTAACCCAACGCTGCTCCACACGCTCTGCGTGGAATCCCGATAATCGTAGTTGTGGTGTTTCGGTTACCCTCACAAGGGCCTGAATGCCACTACCGAAGTTAAAAATATTTTTCATTTCCTTGGTTAAGATCTTGGCTTAAACCTAAAGGTTCTTGGAGTAAAAATAAATTCAGCCTTCTCATCTTTTCTCTGCTCCTCTGTTTGAATTATAGGTGTTAGGAATGCAAAATTCATGGTTGCAAAGTGGAAATATTGTTTGCAGTGGAGAAAGAAGATAAATTTAGATGTCATTTGAAGCATGCATGATTGTCTGTTTTCCACTGTGAAATCACGATGCTGGAAAATTTAGCTTTTTCTCATTTGAAAGCTGTGATTATCCAGTGTAATCTTGCTCTGTGTTTTGAGACTAGAGAAGAACACCTCAGATGTGATTTCTAGACAGATCTGCTTTTATAATCTTAAATGTAACACTGAATCACACATATGCTTATTGAGTTGTAAATATATATGATTGTGATGGTAAGAAAAGTATTAGCATCTGATCAAGAATTCAGTATGAGCTAGATAACCCAGAAAAAGCCATTTTTAATACTTTTCCTGGCATCTTATCCTATTTTTTGCAGTTTTTTTCACTAAACAACAGCTCTGAAGTACTGAAAATTTGACATTTGTATTTCTCCCTACAGTTTCATCGAGCTATAAGACTGAAAGTAAAACTTGCCACACTGACATCATCAAATAACTGCATGAAATTAATACTTTTTTATGGGAAAGGGTAACCCTAACTTCGCTGCTCTGAATGCTTATAACAATTGTACTGCTTTATTTATTTATTTAAATAGTGTAGATTTACTTTTTACCAGGAGGGGTGTTCTCTGTGCTGTTTGTCACATTTCACAGTACCGATTGGTTCCTTCTCCCTGTTCAGTGTCCTGCTAGGCATGTCTTGGTACGTGCATAGGGAACCATCCAGAATTTGTCTTTAGTTTTGATACTGTTAGGTCAGCTCTTGCTCCAGATTCTCTTATCTTTCATTTTTGAGTGCTTTTCTTTTGCATCCTTTCCAGATGATGTTCTTGTCACCAGGTGTATCATTGTTTCCATGTATAATTTGGATGGTCGCTAGCTGATCTGTGGTGCTTTACTTGTTCTGACTTCTGCACTATGTGCTGACAGTGTACTGCAGCTGTTGGCACAGAGTGTTTACAAAATGTAATTATAGTCTGTAGGTTTTGGATATAAGATCCATTGAGTCTTTTCTGCTCCGTTTTGCTATTCCTCCTAGAATCAATGGCTTGATTAGTGGTCTGTATAATTTCTGTGTGTATGTTGGCCACTATGCACATTCTGTTATCCTTACAGGATTCTTGCAGTTCCAGCTGCGCTCTTGTCCAAACTAGGAAGGTGCTGACAGAAGCTTAAATGAAGCTATGAAAGCTGTGAGTCTTTCTGAGGGAATGGTACTGAAATGCAGTCCTGACCAGACCCAAAGCCTTGTGGTTTGGCCACAGAAATGCCATAGCTTAACAATATTCATAAGCTTCGCCTCCGTTTGGACATTGCTGACCTTTCCCGTCACTGCTAACTAGAACATCCTCCTATTATCTCTGCTCTTTCTTCCCCCAAAATGCTGGTGCTGCTCTGAATGGACCATCTTCCATTGACGGGAGTTAGCATGTCTCAAGGAAGCAGTAGCAGTGTGGCTATTTTTAGGCATTGCCCAAATTAAGCAATACTCTGGCAGCAGCTCACCACTGAGGGAAAGGCCTGTTCCTACGTTTAATCCTGCTAATGACCATTCTAGGCTCCAGCTCCTCATGGTTGCACCCAGCTGTGGTGACCTACTTCCTTCCAGTGGTTGACAGTGAGTAAGAACCAGCTGATCTATTTTTTCCTGCTCATTCTTTTACTGTACTATTAGGAATGTGTGTCACTTCTGACACCACCACCACCACCCCCAAAAGGAAAAAAAAGGGTAAATTCTTTCTTACATTGCCTTTGCTTTAGCAAGAGAATTGAAGGATCTCAGCCTGTCAGTCCTATGTACGTTAGCAAATCATTCGTCTTTCTGGGCAGCTTCTAAAGGCACCAGCTAACTTGCACACAAGAGTCTGAGCAGAGATGTTAGACTATCGTTCGTACAGTCCTTGATGTGTTCAGAGAGGATTCCTTTCTGATGTAAAGTCTGTAATTAGATTATGCCGAGCAGCATGGATAAAGGATGTAGCGTTTCTTATCCTTCCCTTAGTGGGAGTACTGGAGTAGCTTTGAAATGTACCGTAAAAAACTTCCAGAGACATGGGATGCCTAGCAAAAAAATATAAAAAAAATAAAAAATATGGTGAGTAACACCAAGTCCAGAGTGGCTAAAAATGGGTGGTTGTTATGTCTTTGAGTCAGATTGGCTTGTTTACTTACCCAGAGCTTTAGATACTGTTAAACTTTTAAAGATTGTCAACTATCTGAAGTTTAATTGCTGTCAACTCACAGAAATTCCCTCACAGAAATAAACTGAGGCTTTATCAGCCTGATTCCTCCTGCAATTAGTAATAAATGGAGTCCTTGGCTTCTTACACATTAGACTAAAGTTTTGAAGGTTGTCCTGTGGTTGGCAGTGAACATTATGTAAGGAATTTAAGAGTTTGTAAATTATGTTGGATTAGCGAGAGCCACTGTGTGGTTATATTTTTTAAGTTTGTTTCAAAGCACACTCTATTATTACATTTTAAAACATTGCTGCTCTCTAATACTAGATCCTTTCCACTGAAGAAGCACAGTGACCTTATTCCAGCTTTTTGCTGAAGTCATCTGTCTCGTTCCTCCTTGCTTGTTCCTGTTGGATCTGCATGAAGGCAAAGTTATTTGCAAATCCCTTTCTGTGCCTCACAGTTGCATGTAATTGAAGTAATAGGTACGCCAGCCACCTCAATGACTCTTACTAAACTTTATAGTGACGTCAGTTTTCTGGAATTACATGGAGTCGCTTGGTGTCTTTTTTTTAGTTAAGCATAGGAAGAGCAGGTAACCTGAGCACAGCTGTCTCAAAACCTCCACTCGTTCAGACCTCTCTAAAGGAGGATAGATGTAGGAGAGAAACAAGTTCTGGGCAAGTTTATTCTTAGGAATCTTATTTTCTCTTACACTTGTTGTTTCTCTAAGGAATTTGCATTTCAGTCTTCCATTTCTGATTTACTCTGTAGGCGTCCTGATTCCGAAAGCACAGCTCTGATACGAGGAAGTAGACTGCCACGTGTCCAGGACCTCAAGTGGAGAGTGGACGTAGCTATTTCCACAAGGTATGAAAGAGAGCCCTGCATGACCCTAGAAATCACTTTGCCCCGGGTTAAACTGACTTCTTGTGCTGCTTAAAACTGCTAATGGTCTCCAAGTATCTTGCTTTAGGGATTGGCATGTGACATTAAATGGTAAGAGACAAAGCGTAGAGGTCAATTCTGTACAGGTTACTGCTGTTAACATGGACCTGTCGCATGGACCTGCTGCCTTTCTGCTTCTACTAATGGCACTTCTTAGGCTCCTTGTTTGTTTTGACCTCTAAAACCTCTCTGCTAGAAACATTTCACTCCAAGTTTGAGTTTAAAACTTAATGGAGCTGATACAGCTCCACAGGTCCTCAGAGATGATGGAATAAATTAGATGGCTTGACCCTCATGCAGCCAGCCAAGCTCTCGGTTTCACTGGAGCAGGGAAGGGAAATCACCTATTCAGCGTCTTAAGTAGACCATCATTTGTGTGTTGCACGTGTTAAAGAAAATCACTTTCCATCACCTGTGCTGTAGCTTCAGAACAGCACCTTTACGCTGCCATAGTTATGCAATTGGTCATCGATCTAGTTTCTTTCACAGAACAGGAGTAAAGGCCTTTGTGATCATCGTGTGAATAGCTGTTTGCCATCTGCTACAGCAGAGGCAACCGGGGCATGGATCTTTGGCTCAAACCGGAAGGAAGCAGAGGCCTGTTGTCTGTGCCGTCCCCGGTCTTTATCTAGTTGTAACCAAGATGGACCAGGGCAAAAGAAACTGGAAGGTGATCCAGTATTGTGTTACACATGTCAGTAGTGTAAATTGTTAGCACAAGGGATTTCGTGTTGCATTCATGAATGCCTGCATCTGAGGGACAGTGCAGTCTGTTTCCTGCCACAGTTGAGAGGCCCATGGGTAATCAGGGGTACTCTTACTAAAATAAAGAGGAAAAGGTCTTAAGTGAAAATTGTAATGGTCACAAGCTTCCAGTTCAGGTGACTCTCAGGTGAGCAGTACTGCGAGCACCACACAGCAATCACTGTGCAGAAAAAATTTGTGCCTCAGAGAGAGCAAAATGTACAGATAATCACCATCCGGCCCAACACTTCCAACCTGCAGGCAAATGCTGTGATTTGTTTTCCAAACAACACAGGAACGGTATGTTATCCTATTCTATTTTCCTTCCTCTTATTTTCCTTTCCAGTCAACCTCCCCCCTGGGATTTCTTGTTTATCTTCCAACAGCAGCCTCTGCAAAGGGATATGGCTTCTGGCTGTAGCGCCTGTCAGTACCTGAGCAGGTTTTGGCAACCCTGGCTGATGGAAGCTGCACAAGAATGACTCATTTCCCCTCTTTGGGTCATCAAATAGAATAACAACCACAAATTTAGGATGAAGACTGGAAGAGCTTGATTCCCCAAGTGAGATGGCAGTTGAGAGTATGCAGTGATGGAAAGGATTAATGTAACATGGTAAACTGCATGAGAAAACTGTGCATTATTACTTAGCAGTACTTGCTCAGCTCTTATCCTTGTTGTAGTTCCACTAAACTGATTATTATGTAAAATGATAATGCTTCTAAACTTTACAGTTACTAAACTACCAAAAAAAAATTTTTAGTCTCAATATTGAGGTAAAGTGGGACAGGACTCCTATGTTTATGAGTCGCTTGCCAGCCCCATACAGGACTTCATGACTGAAATTACTCATGTTCTATGTAAAGCCTACGCAAATATCTTAAATTGTTAATGTGTAACATACAATGTACTCATCATACTGCTGATGTCTATTGTTGTAATACTAATAATATAAATCATTTCAGTTCACTGGCCCGGGCGCTTCAACCATCCATTCTGATGATGATGAAGCTTTCAGATGGGACAGCTCATCGCTTTGAAGTAAGTTTGATTGCCATAATAAATAAAAAAGAAACCACTTGAACTTCTTTTTAGAAAGTTGAATCACTATTTAGAATATTAAAGCTTTTGTAAACAATGCATTATCGTTGGTTGGTTTTTCTTGGAAGCTTTCATGTTAAGTGTAGCCACATACAATATATAATGAAGTGCTAACCAAAATGCTTTCATACCTTGTTCCTACACACATTTTCTTGAAACTTCATTTGTTAGAAGAATATTAATTACTGATAAGCACTGTTGCATAATACCTGGCTTGATTAAAAATGATGGGTTTGATATCAGCTGTAACTTTCAGACCTGATGGTGGCTCTTGAGGGCAGAAAAATTAATGGCATAGTTTACATAACATATGATACGCTTCTAAACTTCCTGCGTTTAGCAGAGAGCGACAACATTCTCTTCTGTGGCAGAGGTAGGTTTTTTCTTTTTCTTCAGCACAGTTCTTGCTGCTAGAAAGAAAGTAAAAAAACCTATCTGCTTTTTACCTCAGCATTAGTGGCAGTATTTATAATGTGTAGAAGGCTTGCCAGAAGATGGCATAAACTCTTCTGTATTTTTACCCTTTAAAAAGGAACGCTATTGGTTCTATAAATAACAGGGTGGTACATACAGGAATCCAGTGCACAGCAGGCATTGTTATTTAGGAATTCTCTAAAGACTTTGGCTTCAGTTCATGTGTTAGTAGTAGTCTGGAGGAAGCACCAAAGAGTGTGTGTTACAAGAGGTGGACTGATTTTACTGTTACAGTGCTTCACAAGAAGGCAGCTCTGGAGGAAGGCACAAATTCTGGGCCACATTGCGAAGTGTTGATGATGTCACTTCACAGGAGATCAAATTCACCTCTCTGTGGACAGCCCAGCTCAGAGCATCTGTACATTCTGTTCAAAGTCTTCCATGGAACTTAAATGATGACATGGTCTTCAGGTTAACCCTTTACGAGAGGATAAGTTTCATCTGTGAGAATAAAAACTAGTGTATATTTATTAGATCTGGGGATTTATTTCCTGGTCTATAATGTCAAGTCTTGATCTTGGTGGCATTGTTCCTGGTTGGTTTGGGTTTAGGTTTTTTTGTTGTAGGTCTATGGAAGAGCCTTTGCTGTTCTGCAGTGGAGATGTGTTGGTGTTGCCTGTCCAGTACTTGCAGAAGTGCCAATATCCCATAGCAAACAATGCGCTTCTCTTTGCTGCTGCTGTTTAGATCTGAACGCCAAAGATCTGGCTGTAAATACAATTTCTGTGTCTTGCAGTTAGTAGCTCTTTGGGATAAATCTGTGTTTTGGTTCAAGGTACCACACACAAGCAGATGTAGTCCTTGGCTCTTCAGTTTCCTTTCACTGGGACACGTACAGGATGTCCAGCGAACTGGTAACTCCAGACGATAATTCTGTTACGAGCAGTTTTAAAATGTGTGTGCTACAGGGAGAAGTTACATTCTGGTCTCTTGGGTTTGGTTTGGTTTTTTAATCGCAGTGTTACTTCTTACAAGGAAGAGTCTTTAAAAAGCAATAGGTGTTGCAGCATTTGGAGTCATGTTGTATGTATGTCAAAAGTGAAAAAGGCCTGATGCCTTTTCATACATTCCTGATGCATATGGAAAATGCAAATCAGATGTTGGATTCCTCTCACATAACTGATGACGAGATGTAGGCAGAAGGATGACAGGGGACTCTGTCTAAAGAACTGTGTCTTCAGTGTGGTCAAAGCAGTAGAGCCGATGGGGCAGTGCTCTGCAGAGCGGCCGGGGACTCGCCGGCCTGCTCTTGGTACGCAGGCGAGCGCGTGCATTTGTGCGCTGCACTAATGCTAATCTGTGTCACCCAGTCTGTGCCTGTGCTGAGACATGCTTCTCTGTCTTAACAGATAATAGATTTCCATCCATTTGGCTTCTCAGGCTTGAAATGGTAAAGGAAGGTCCATTAGTCTCCTGCACAGTTGAAAATGTTTTGTGTATTTAATCAAAACCTGCCTTCAGTGTATAGACAGTGCCCAGTCCTCTTTGCTCTTGAGATTGCTGCCAAGTCTCTTGCTTTGAGGCTCAATTCCTTTCTCCGGCAAGCTTGGACAAGCAGAGTATCTGGAATTTGTTGCTTGAAAATTCTGTAGGTTCTACGACCTTCCAGATGTCTTCGTCTTTCCTGCGAATCCATGACTCTCTTATATCACCAAAGCAGCCATCAGTTTATATTTTGAAATATTTCCTTTCTCACCTCTGGCAGTACAGAAAATGTACTGTGTAACTGTTATTTCTGTTTTTTCCCACTCTCCTCTGTTTTTTCCACCCAGATAATTTAGTTGAATTAACTGACTTTTATTAACCTCAAATCCCTTGTCTTAAGTCTTAAAAAAAGTATTTTAAGGGAGATTGGGCTGATACTGTGGAATGTTCCCTATCCATAGGAATGCCCCCATCAAAGTTCCTAAGGTGTTTCTGTTTTCTAACTTGGGTATTCTGTTTCAGGTGCCAGTTGCAAAGTTTCAAGAACTGAGATACAACGTTGCCCTTATACTGAAGGAAATGAATGATTTGGAGAAAAGGAGCATACTGAAGATCCAGGACTGAACACTTTTACATTGAGACTTTATAGAAGAGATCTGGAACCCTTGGCGCGTTCTGTGAATCGCAAAGCAGGGGACCATCACCACGTTGCCTGTCTGAACTGCAACACTGCATTTATGATGTCTGCTGTAAATATTTTTTTTTTATTTAAGTGTTAAAAGCACAAATTCTTTTTGTAAGACGTAGGAAAACCAAAAAAAAAATCAAAAAACATATAATGCTGTTTGCGAGCATTTTTGCATGATTCATCAAAATGTTTTTTAAATAACTGTCTTAATACATGTAACAGTCATTTATTTCTGATTATGATTCATCACTCTAATTATTTTTGAAAGCCTGCTACCGGAAGCCCCATCAATGTGTATCATAAGAAAGCTCTGCAATATTTCAAATAAAAAATAAAATAAACACTTCTGTGCGCTAGTATGACAAATGTGAGCTTGGGTTTTGCCTTAGTAAAATTGCTGTCTGGCTTCTTACAAAGTGACTGAGTTACAGCTACACATAATTATAGGCTAATTTTGAAGAAAATTGGAAGTCTGTGGATCAAGGAAGAAGTATCAGCTGAGCTTCCAGAACTAATTCCATGGAATTGCAGAAGCACAAAGGTGCAATCTCATTCTTTATCTGGTTGATCAGAATGGGCTAAATACCAGTAATCTCATAGATTTCTAACTGGAAATGCTGCCTGCCTGTTGTTTCATGTGTTTCCTATGTGTTTGAATCATAGAATCATTAAGGTTGGAAAAGACCTAAGGCTGGAACAGATCATCAAGTCCAATCATCAACCCAGTGCCACTGTGACCACTAAACCATGTCCTGAAATGCCACATCTACACGTTTTTTGAATGCCTCCAGGGATGGTGACTCCCACCACTTCCCTGGGCAGCCTGTTCCAATGCTTCACCCCTGTTTCAGTAAAGAAATGTTTCCTAATATCCAACCTAAACCTCCCCTGGCGCAACACGAGGCCATTTTCCCTTGCCCTATCACTTGCCACTAGGGAGAACAGACCAAATCCCACCTCCCTACAACCTCCTTTCAGGTAGTTGTAGAGAGCGATAAGGTCTCCTCTCAGCCTCCTCTTCTCCAAACTAAAAAATCGCAGTTTCCTCGGCCTCTCCTCATAAGACTTGTTCTCCAGATTCTTCACCGGCTTCAAATCACCCGACTTCCTACTGGGCAGAAACCTCTGGCACTGTGATGATAATGAACCACAGGAGGCAATAACTTTGTAGACCCCTACAGCTACTTACTCATCAATAGTCCGACCATCAACGAGTCTGCAGGGACTCAAAGGCCTGATCCTCGCAAAACCTACTCAGAGAGGTGTCCCAGCTCAGGGGGAGATACTGGGTCACACAGTCCTGGAGAGCTCCAAAGGCCAGATTGTAATTTACAGGATCTCAAGACAATTGGCTTTGGTCAGTATTCTCCATTCTGGCCACAACTCGTGCTGACTCATTCTGACACACAATCTGGCCCAGGGGTGGCCAGAGGGCCTGACACCGAACCACTGCACTTGTCACCAAGGTAATGGCTCCATGGGGCTTATCCTGAGATCTCCGCATGGCCCGGGCCACCACAACCATGCACACTGAGGGGGACTTAAACGCTTGGCATTTTCATTCTGCTGTACTTAGAAAAGGAGTTAATTTGAGGTTTCCTTCTCACAGATCAGCTTTCCAGTAAAACAGCAGTTGTCACTAAAATGGCTAGCGGATAGTTCCTCGGTTTTGATAGAACAGGAGCCTTCGGATTACTGCCGGGTTTCTCAAAATGTCGTGGTGGAATATGCGTTAAATATTTAACACTGAAATATCTTCTTACTTCACAATTAAAATACTCTGGAATTTGAATTCCAGACTGTAGTCCTTTCATTCCAATCCAGAACAAAAGCAACCTTCTAAGAATCTGGGTATGCCTGAACAGAAAAGATTTTACTCAACACCAGGTTTGGTTACCCTTCGAGGACACACTGAATCCCCCTTTCTATATCACGTGGTGAAAGACACGACTCCAACGGGGTGCTCGCTCTGTCAGTCCTGATCTGTCAAGCTGATCACTAGTCAGTCGCGAGTTGGGAAGGCAGGAGGAGGTCTGCATGGGGAGGGCACTGCTTTTCTTCTTGTTACACATTGTTCACAGACCGAGAGGTAACAAGGTCCTTTCACTAGTTCTACTGGGAGATTTCCCTGAAAAACAGACCCCAGTGACCCAGTTGCTTTCTCTGTTTGATGGTCTCTCTATTTGTTTAAACTGGATAATCATAGAATCATAGAATGGCCTAGGCTGGAAGGGACCTTAGAGATCATCTAATCCACCCCCCCCATTTGTGTATGTCTTACTATTAGCTATTTTCTAACCATGGCATATGAATGTAAAATTTCTCCACTACACTTTTTCTTTCATTTCCTTTATAGTATATGGGACATTGTGCCTTTTCTTCCAATACTAATGTGTCAAAACATATTCAAAATAGAATATGAATATAAATCACATGTGCCTAACAGCAGAGATGCCTAGTGGAGTAGTCACAGTAGGCAGAATGCGAACAGAGAGTTAAAGATAGTTGCCAGAAATCATTCAGAGATTCACTGGCAAAATAACACCAAGAACTCACTCAACTTCACTTCGTGTTCTCTAACTGTAAGTTAATGCAGCTTCCTGATGTAATGGTCAGGCCGCTCTCTTTTTTTAATTTTTTTTAATCAGCTCAATTCCATGGGCCATCAGTCCAAATCTGTACTTGCCTGTGGACTATGAGAGCATGTGCAGAGCACTGGAAAATAAAAAGCCACCCGTGGCTGTATTTGTGATGTGACTTTTCACATCCCTACTTCCAGCAGAGAAGGAGCACGACTAGTAGGTCAGAATTTCACACTTGGATTAGTCGTCTTTGAGAGCGGAAAGAAACAGGTTTGCTGGTTGTTTCTGTGGTCTCCAAGCGTGATGCAGCTGATAGCTCCAGAAGGCTGAAGAATGTAGTCATGCTCTCATACTGCCCATTATGCCAGACATTAACTGCTGGAAGAAGACCGGTATTGTGTTCGTCATTAAAAGCAAGAAATTAAACCTCCCTTTGAAGAAGAATCATACAAGGGAGATATGCTTTTGCAGAGTGAGTCACCTCCTAGTTTTAACTTCTTCTAAGTGAAGGATAAATCTGCTCTTGATCTCATGAACAATGCAGGTAGGTAGGGGGCTGGGTTTTTTTTTTCCTTTTTGCTTTTTCTTTTTTTTTGCTTTCTAATCAATCACACCTCATGACCCACTGCTGCTCCAAATCCATGAATATATGTATGAAAATATGCTTTCAGGATGTGTTATGTAAAAACACCCCGGCATATCTAGATTGAGAACGTACATTCAATTTACACAGCTGTTTTTGCTAAAATGGTCTTTGCCGAGCTGGGCCTGATGTCAGAATCAAATATTTTGCAGTTGTTTGACTTCTAGTGAACAGTAAATCAGTACCTTGGCTTTAAAATACTTTGCTGTTAGCGACTGTACAGCTCACTCTGTACCTGTCACACCCCACAGAGTACTAACATTTACCACACACCGCACACACCAGGAACTAGCAGAGGCAGAACCAGCTGGTTTCTCCCCTCAGAAGTCACAGAGTTGCTGCCCATAAGCCACCCATGATAAGAGCTTAACTGTTTTCCGGCTTTGGATAAAGGTCTGTGTTCTGAACCCTCCTAAGCATTCAGCTCCCACCACAGGAGCAGTTCATTAAGCACAGTTGCCCTTTTCTCTTGAAATGTTTCAGCCACGTCCCTGCTGGTGTAAGAGAACTCCCAGAAGTACATTTCACAGCGCTTGTTTGAGACTCATTTCAGTCCTGAGCGATCAGGCTGCCAGCTAGCCCTGCAGATGCTTTCATACATCGTAAATAGAAACTGTAGAAGTTCCTTTCAGAGCACAAATGCCGATTACATTTTCTATGATAATCTAGTTCCATTCCCTATCTTGAATTTATGCACTGCAAGAAACCTTCCATTTACACCGTGACTTATCTCTTTAAGTGTCTGCTCTGTCGCTATGTAAATACTGGTGGCATACCCCTGATAGAGAGATTGTCATTGCATTGCTACTGGTAACCAGCGGTTATGTCACTTTCCCTCGCTTGAATAGGCTTTGACTCATAGTGGTTTTCAGGACAATGGTTATAAAATAACACACTGAGGGGTTGCCGAGACTATAGTTTTGCAATAGAGACAACAGTCGACCTCAAGGCTACAAGAAAACATTTTTTCCCCATTTTTTTTAAGGGTTTTGTCTTTTATAGTATGAATTTTCTTGCACGGAAGTTTCGAAAACAAGAATTCTGTATTAGCAAGCTTGAGCCTAGTGGGAATACCCCACACTTCTGAGCACAAACACCAATTATTTCTAATGGTTCTGAAGCATTGCTTAACTGAAATTTTAAGCGCTTCAGTTGTCCTGCCTTTCTGTGAATTATTTGGTGGCAGGCTGTGCCATACTTTGGATGACTTAAGTGATGGCAGAAAGAAACCAGCAGTTATTCCATCAACCTTTTTGTTTTTCTAATTAAAGGACTTCCCTGGGAACAACAGTCAGATGTTGGGGTTTTGGTTTGGTTTTGGTGTTCTGTGTTTGCTGTTTGGGTTTTTTTTGTGTGTTAAGAGCCCTAGAGACAGAGGCCAAATTTCTGGCCGGTGCAATATGTACACGCATCATAGGAATCAAAGACAACTGAAGAGTCTGACGGCTGGCTTCCGTTTTCAGGTATATATATATCAGACCTTTTGTGTGAGCTTAACGATTGCCTACACATGGACATGTAATCATAGAATCATAGAACAATTCGGTTGGAAAAGACCCTTGGGATCATCAAGTCCAACCATTGACCCTACACTACAAGGTCACCTAAACCATATCACCCAACACCCCATCTAAGCGACACTTGAACACATCCAGGGATGGCGACTCAACCACCTCCCTAGGCAGTCTGTTCCAGTGTTGGACCACTCTTTTGAAGAATTTCTTCCTAATGTCCAGCCTAAACCTGCTCTGTTGCAACTTGCAACCATTCCTCCTGGTTCTGTCATCACAACGTCAGCCCTCATTATTAAAGTGTTATTAAGATCCTCGTTTCACGTGGCTTTAAATCAGTTTTTCACTTTCAGTCCAAGTTCATCCCAACTTTCTCAAGTATTCTCTCCAAGCAGGGTCTCACAAAGGTGGTATCGCCTCTTCTTTCTTACACCGGTCAGGCCCCACGGGCGGGGCTTGTTCCCCCACACCAGCTTCGCTTACGCGGGCTGACCTGGGGACTCCACACACTCTCCTGTGATTT